AGACGACCAATACGATATCGTAATATCGCTAAAATATTATTAGAATTGCTCCTTGTAAAGAGATTGATTTAATTATGATAATTAAGAATATTCATTAATTAACTCTGTTTTAATACATTAATTTACTCGGACAGATATTAGATCGGGAAATTTTTTATTTTTGATTATTTTTCGAGCTAGTTGTTGGCACATTCGGTATATTAAATTCAGAAACATTAATAATGAAGTAAAATTTGTTAGAGAATGAACATTAAGAGTTATACTTTATTTATACTGATACTAAGATTTCATAAATTAAAAGTCCCACGTATTTTTTAACGATAGTCAGATAATGTTTGTAATTATTTTTTTTGACGCAGATTAAATTATGAAGAAATCTATGGAGCCCAAGAAATACGAAACTACAGATTTTTCAAAGTGATTTAATTACAATGAAATTTTAATGTAACTTCAAGGACATGGTGATTATAATAATTTACAAAGATATGTTTATATTGCAATCAGTATAAAAATTAAGAGAATAAATTACCTTACTTATCTACAATTATAAGATATTACTTTTATTACCCGTCTCGTATATAATGGCATATATGAAATTTCATAGAATGACATTACGTATAGGAATAATTTATTCATAGTAGCGCATATCTGCAATAAAGAAATATAAGAAAGATAAGAAAATGAAAATAAAAAATTTAAAGATGCTGATGGTATAATAAATAGAAGGACTGGAAAGTGACAACAAAAAAAAAAAAAAAAAAAAAAAAATTAATGTGATCATTATCGAGATATAGGAGGCAGATAACAAGAATAATATAATCCTTAGAAAATACGAAACTATAGCAGAATCTTTTGAAAAAGTCCGTCTACGCTCACTACCATTTACAAACGAATTTTTTCCTCTAAAACTGCATACCGTCTGCAAAGTCTGCCGAAAGTCTGTAAATAATTATGCCATACACACTTGCAAAGCTTCGGAAATTAAAGGGTCAACGAGGATTGTCCTTACACCGCTGAGACTAACAAGAGCCTCGGCACAGCATCGCGACTCACGTCGAGATTTCCATTTTTCAAACGAAGATTTTACCCGACTCTTCTACTCTCTTATCATTGTATTGGTCGAGCGTGTTTTAATGGGGGCGAGCCAAGCATGAAATAAAGTCGCGAGCACACGGTCGGAAAACAGTGAGAAAACAGGGAGTGCGCGCGGAAGCTATTTGCAACCATAACCGGATACGCTGTTCTACATAATGCCGAGTTTTAAAAAAGAAAAATGTAACGTATTTTATGAGAGTTGCGTGAAAAAATTATCCGAGCCTTCGGCTTAACACGCTATTATTATTGGCGTATTTTGCAATGATTTGCGTGCCCTTACGAACTGCAATAAGTCATTTCGGAAGTACATTTGATAGTTACACGATAGAACGCTTACACATTTTTGAGGTTTTTTTTTTTTAATTAATAATGTGTAAACTACTCTTTCATTATCTTCATTATGTAGACAAAATTTTTTTTTGTTTTTTTTTTCTCTATATATATAATTTTATATATATTTATATATATATTTTTCTTTAATATGTTCTTTATTTATCTTAATTGATAATCGTATAGATTATTACATAGACACAATTTTTTCCATGTATAATTTGAAAATTATTAATATTTATCGATACGTATTATTAGTACTTTCAATTAACAATCGAATCGTGTTAAAGCAAATGTTGAATATAGTATGTTAATTAAATTGAAACAACGTTGTCAAAGTATTGCTACACTCTCGTTATAATTAATAGATTTTATTATGAGTCATATATATATATATATATATATATATATATATATATATATTCTGAGATAAGGAATATATTAAATTAATAATGTAAAAATAGTTTGATACGTGGTAATATATTCATAGAATTTATACATTCTAGCGAATAATGGAAGATTCTATTCGCCGTACATTCAATGATCCCCTTTCTTCTCTCACTCTCTCTCTCTCTCTCTCTCTCTCTCACACACACACACACACACGCACACGCACACACACGCGCACGCGCACACACTCTATCTCTCTCACTCTATCTCTCTTTAAAAATACTCGAGTTTCGGTCATTGTATCTTGATATAAAAGGCGAATTGCCACTAACGAAGCATAGAAACGAGGGAATAAAGGAAAAACAAAAACAAACTGACGGTAGTAATGAAATGAAAGGCATATATACGCAAGGCTTGCGAGAAAAGTGAGTAAGGTAGTGTTTTAAAAAGCGACTAAGCGACCGATACGCATTTAAGAAACAAATGTGAAACTGATCCGAGATATGTTACTATATATAAGAATAGAGCATTGTTGAAAACCGAATTGGTAGATTTATGTTAAAGCACAAGGGGTGAAATTCTTTTAAAAAGGCTACGAAAAGATATAAGAAGATGTGTGTGTATATCATACGTGAAGATTTTTGAAAGCATTTTCCTTTAGATACAACCTCATGCATACGGGCACACATATTTTAACTCACTTGCTATCTCCTTAAGTTACAATCGCTACTAATTACCGGAAGTGCAGAAGCGAAGCTTCTCGAGGAGCTTTTGGTGAACTAAAAGTACTTACGATATCTTAAGGGTTCTACTGTTAAACAATGATATAATTATTATAGATGGTTTACAGACGTCCAAGATATATTAGAGACAATCAGTTATTTACTAATGTAAAATATAATAAAGTTTATAATAAAATGTTTTTATAAAAATCGATAGATTAAAATAAAATTTAAATTTAAATGTAAAAGTCACGTTTCATCTACATGTAATGTGTAAAGAATAAAAATTATTTCAAGGACCAAAAAGATTTGTAAATGAAGAGATTAATGTTTAAAATAACAAATATTTCGTAATTTAGTAATGATAACGAATGAAGTTAACAAATTCTGTTAAAAAAGACAATAAAGAAAAACTTGAACAAGATATTGATTATTTATGGTATTGCATACCAATACATTAATATATTCATACGTGGTTATATAAATAATTCACCTTAGTCATAATTGCGATAAAAAATTAATAATTATTTCTAATAAGAAGATTAAAATTAATTTCATTCAAAGCTGATTCTTTGTATTATTATCCATCAAAAATAAATTGTAATTTCAACATTATCTGACTGATATGATTATAAGATTAATTTAAATAAAAAAAAAAAAAAAAAAAAAAAAAAAAAATTTTAATATTTTTCACTACTTATTTATGTAATTTACACTCATAGCAAGTACTTAATTTTTACATATTCCTTACTTTTGCTGCTTTAAATTAATTTAATTCAGCGTTACAGAAAAGAGGCCTTAATAGTTATTTTCTTCCTTATTGATTAATACTTTCTCTCAAACGCCATTACATACAAATTTGCAAAACCTTTTTGTTAAATCACTTTCAATCTACGTAAAATTTTTAATTAATACGTATTAAAGACGAAGATATTCAGCGACAAAGCTAATAGAATTAAAAACTGGTTTTTATAAATAATACATAATGTCAAGGCCAATTAATATTCCCGGGAGCGTAATATCAAAGTAATATTTTCTCAGCAGTCACACTATTTCATGGACACAGCACTCGTCCCAAGAAAAGCGTCCCCATCCGCAATGTAAACGACGGAATATTCATTTAACCGGGTTTGTATTGATTTTTAATCGTATGGGAGACCACGAAATTCTATGTGACAATTATACTGTAAATGTGGAGACGTCTTAGGGGAAATTGAGAACAAATTTGTATCGTATTGTTAATTAAGGATATCGAGACAACTGGGAAATGCAAACGCCGCAGCCTCGTCGCAACAATGATGAAAATTAAAATGAACGCGCACTTCCACCGGCTAGCAAAATCCGATTTTAAGCTCTCCGTCTCATTCTTCATTCTCTTCATTGATGATTATTGTTCAAGTTCTTTTTTCTTTATGCCATTGACTTCTCGTCTACCGCAATGCTTCACACACACACACACACATTCCATTGTCTTAATGGCTCTTTCTTACATAATTTAACTTTCGGGTACTTTGCTAAACATTCAAGATTGCTATTATAGAACACAAATCACGAACTGACGACATTCTAAATTTTTTCAGAATTTTCCAGATCCCATCATCGGACTGTATTATTAATAAAACGTAAATATAGTAAATTTATCAAAATTAATTGTTACGATATCCAAGAATCCAACTGAAATAGTCATAAAATCAAATTTCATGTTTCTTAAATACGTTCTTTGCAATTACAGTCCTCTCTGATTGCAAAAAAAAAACGCTAATTTTTATTCTTAGTAAAATAGTGATAAAAATCTATTATAAATTTAAAATAACTGAATACAGTTATTGGATATAATTCCTTTGATTAGTGGGATTTAAGATTATTATCAAATTGTAATTTGAAAGCTATTAAATTCTACATAGACATATTAATTATTTCATTAGCTAAATTTATCCTCTTAAAAGAAGTATTGGAAAAAAAAAAAAAAAAAACTTTAAATGCGTATTATATAGAATAAGTCTTTAAACGAATATTAAAGTAAAAGAAATTTTTTTTTTTTTTGTTAAATATAGAAATCTAATTTATTGACAAAATGTAAATGATTAAATGCATATGCAGAACTCCAACTTTTGTACAAAATAGCATTCCACGGCTTACGTATCAAACATAATATATATTAATATGAATTTTCCATTTATTTACAATCTTCACGTTCAAACAATATGAAATAATATTCGTGTGCACGCGTGTGCACGCGTGCGTGCGCGCGAACACGCGCGCGCCTGTGTGTGATAGCACTTTGCAATGTAAAATAAGTTGCAGAGTGCCATCACCATCAACTACCAGAATTTTTTTTCTCACTTTTTATTTAAACTTGACAGTTGTAGCGCTAGTAGATGGAGAGTTCGTTCTTTTCCGGCTCTTCGTTCTTGCTCCTAAACGTCCACGTGAATAAGTCGTAAAAGTCCTGACTCGAAATAGGGTTTAGGTTAGGTTAGCGGTAGATCTTTTAGAATATTTGAAGTTCTAACATCTGTTAAGGTTCGAGGATTTCATGAAAGGAAGGTGAAACAAGTTGGTGTTGAACAACTTGGTAAATAAAAAACATAAAGTAAAGTCGAGAAAATGGTGCTCGATCTGGATAATTTCCGAGAGGATAAAGGTTTCAACCCGGAAAAGATCCGAGATAATCAGCGAAAGCGCTACAAGGATGTTAGCTTGGTGGACATAGTTATTGACAAGGACGTGACATGGAGGCGGCTTCGATTTCAAGCCGACAAGTTTAATAAATTAAAAAACATCTGCAGTAAGGTGATTGGTGAAAAAATGAAGAAAAAAGAAGCCGTTGGCGACGAAGATACCGTACCACAGTTTATAGCCAATGACCTCGACGGTCAGGTCAACTCTAGTAATCTTAATAAGCTTACAATAACACAGATCAAAAGGATTCGTACGCTTATTGATGAAGCAATCGTTAGCAATGCTCAGGAACTCGTCGTAATCGAGACTGAGAGAAACAATGCCCTCAAGGAAATTGGCAATCATTTACATGACAGCGTACCTGTTAGCAACGATGAAAAGGAAAACAAGGTTGGTTAGAGAAAACTTATTCACTCGTTCTTTATGTTCACGATATAAAGTTATAATTTTTAAAACAGTTGCATTATCGATCAAAAGTTTATTATATTTAAAATCATAAATATTTAATGTTGTCTTTGTTATTCTTAAGTACAACAATGAAAATGTTTTTAAAAGTAAAAAATGATTTATTTATCTATTAGGTGGAGAAAACATTTGGCGATTGTAGCGTAAGAAGAAAATATTCGCATGTAGACCTTATACACATGATAGATGGTATGGATGGAGAAAGAGGTTCTGCAATATCTGGAGGTAGAGGATATTTTTTAACCGGTGCTGCAGTTTTCCTGGAGCACGCTTTAATACAGTTTGCTCTTAGGAAACTATTTGATAAAAATTACAAACCGTTATACACTCCATTTTTTATGAAAAAAGATGCGATGCAAGAAGTCGCACAATTGTCTCAATTTGATGAAGAATTATATAAAGTATAAATTATTTTATACGCGTGATAATCTTTAATTTGTAAAACTAAATAAATTTAAATATATAATTCAGGTGATAGGTAAGGGTAGTGAACGTGGCGACGAAAAGGAATTAGAGGAAAAATATCTTATCGCTACCTCGGAACAGCCGATAGCTGCTTTTCACAGAGGAGAATGGATCTCCGAATCTTCGTTACCAATCAAATATGCTGGGCTGTCAACTTGCTTTAGACAAGAAGTAGGCTCTCATGGACGCGATACTAGAGGAATATTTAGAGTTCATCAGTTTGAAAAAGTAATTAAGAAAATTTACTCCCACGAAAAATTCTTATATTAACCTGTAACAAATACTTTCATAGGTTGAACAATTTTGCCTTACGTCTCCTCACGATAATAAATCATGGGAAATGATGGAAGAAATGATGAGAAACGCAGAAGAATTTTACCAAGATCTGAAAATACCATATAGAATTGTAAATATTGTTTCCGGTGCTTTGAATAATGCTGCATCCAAGAAACTTGATTTAGAAGCCTGGTTCCCTGGCTCGGGCACGTTTAGGGAACTTGTGTCGTGTAGTAATTGCCTGGATTACCAATCTAGACGCTTATTAGTGAGGTAAGTCTATTCCTGCTAGCACGAATTCTTTTATAAGGCTGTGCTTATAATCTTAAATTTCTAATGAAATAATTGATTTTCTTCTTAGATACGGTCAAACAAAAAAAATGTTTAGTACCACGGACTATGTGCATATGCTAAATGCAACAATGTGTGCAGCGACAAGAGTAATTTGTGCTGTTCTAGAAATTTACCAAACAGAAACTGGAATTAAAGTGCCAACAGCATTAGCGAACTTTATGCCTGCTTTATACCGAGATGAAATACCGTTTGTTAAACCTGCACCAATCGATGAGATGGAAATGAAAAAACAGAAAGACAAATAAATTATATTTATATTATTTTTTTATATTATTTTACTGTGTACACATAAGTAAACTATAAAATAAAGAAATATTTACTATAGATAAATAAATATTATTTTTTTATGTTAATTTTAACAGTATTGATGGGCTTTATGCGCGCTTTATACGGAGAAGAAACAACGTTGTTTGTTAAACATACCCCAACCGATGAGTTGGAAATAAAAAAACAGAAAGATCAGTGCAATCGAATAATTAAATTTTTCTCTTTTTTTTTTTTCTTGAAGTTTTGCATTGAAATGAATTTGTTTCAAAATTTATTATTTTAACCAAATGAATAAAATAAATAAAATTTCTTTATTATAATACACTTTTACAAATTATTTAAAGAATTATGTTCCTTCATCTTCAGCTTGCATTTGCTCTATTAATTTTTTACGTTCTTCTGCCCTTCTCAAATTATTTAAAATTATAGTTTCTAAATCAGAATCGTTGTTAGATCGAGTATTCTGAAAAATAATTACTTAACTTACAAATCTGGTTAACGGCATAAGCATTTTTGTCAATCATGTACTTACAAATATGTCCGGTGCAGAGGAAAAACTGAGACCTTGTGAAACATGATTTCTATTTGTATTCATTGATCCTTCGGCCGAAGGAAATAAATTAATTCCAGTAAATAATGTATTTGTATTGATGTAAGTTTTATGTTTTGTTTTATTCTTTTCCCATACTCCTTCTAATTTGAGAGGATTGGTCACTAATCCTTTTTCATAGTTTACTGCCGATTGCTATGGAAAAACATCAATGAATATTGTAAATTTGATCCATTGACTTTCTTATGCCACATAATTCATACTCACTGCAGCTTTTCCACTTGTATACTCGACCAAGGCTCTACCTTTTTTAGCAGTTGATAACACTAATACTGAAATATCACCATGCTGTAAAATTAGAATATTAATGTAAAACTTAAAAATTATTATTTTTTGCATCATTCTACCTTTGATAAAAATCTGTGCAGATTATCATAATCATAACCTCCATTATTCACATCGTCAGCAGCCACTTTCCATTTAATTTTTACTCGACATTCGTCTTCACTGTAACAATTACCAGAATTTTCATTTCGTAAATCGTCGATTATTTTTTGTTTTAAACGTATTTTCTCTTCTTCAACTAATCTAGAACCTTCTTTCTTTAATCTCTCTATTTCAGCTTTTAACTTGTCTTCGTCACTTTTAGCCGACGCATAATCTGTAGTTTGCGATTTTTTAAAAGCCTCTTCGCGTGCTTCCAATTCATCTTTAAATTTTCTTCTTTTAGCATCTAGTTCCTTGACCCTCGCTTTTGCCTGGGCTCTTGCATTGATAACTTTATCATAAGCAGCCTATAAATATCTAAAGGTTAAAAATTGCTTTAACGAAGATATTGAAGTTAATCGTCGTTATTGTACGCTTACCCTTGCAGCAACATCGGTTAAGATTTCTAATGCTCTTGTAAGTTGCAAAAATAATTCAGCAGCTTTAGGATTATTTGGATTCTTATCAGGATGACAGCTTAATGCTTTTTTCCTATAAGCTTTTTTAATCTATAACAGCAATAATTATTGTACATTGTGTTAAAAGATTTAATAATAAGACACGATAACTCAAGAAAATATTAACAATATATATTAGAAGATTATGACAATAAATACTTATGTTTACCTCACTTTCATCAGCTGTTATCGTCGTTCCAATAATTTCGTATAAATCTAATTTCATTATTTCATCGTCCATTGTCATCTAAATTTCTGATTCATAAATGTGCAGAAGTATAATTTACTAACTAATATAAATGAAATTGTCTATGTTCAAGCTTTAACTCTTTTTTATAACTTAACTTACACAACAAACATTTATGACCACAATACAATCCTTCACGTCACACACAGGCTTCTATAATAAAGAAAAAAAATACAAATTAGTACACTAATAATCTTAAATTCACACGAAATATTTAGGCATATTACAATAATAGAACAAATTCTAAACAAATACCATAATGAATTTCATTTCTATACAAAAACATTCATAGTATGTCATATTAATAATAAAGTCCTTTTGCAAGTCTGAAATTTCGTTCTATTTACAATTCTTCTAATCGTAGTTCAACGATACTACGTTACGATTATAATTATAGTAACTTTACAATGCTTTCTTGAATTGCATTATCCCATGTGTAATTTGAAATGTACTTTGAATGTATTTTAAATTATGGTGGACTCAATACAAATTATCAATAGCTCCCAACCTAACAAAATGCCACTAGGTTACTTTTCTCCCATCTGACAAATTTCTCCCCATGTTTCATGGTGAAAAATTAATATGCAGGAAGATCCTCGTAATACTAAAAAATCTCATCAAATTTTTATGCGTTACGTTACGAAGAAGAGCATCCAATATCTCGGTAATACACTCGACATAAAATTATCAAGTTACCGAGACATTAACATTACCTTAACCAAATCATTGTCACCAAGTCATTGAATTTTAACATTCTTTTCCCATCGCGAAACAATAAACTGAGAATAATCGATTGCTCGGTTTCCAAAAGTTATAGGATACGATTCCGCCTTAAATCCAAAAAACCTTTCTTTCCCACACTCAAACAGAATCGACGACTTTCACCCAATAATGGTAACGACAATGACCGTCTCTGTCTACCTTATTATTATTATTATTATTATTATTATTATTATTATTATTAATATTGACGTTAGGTATGTCAATAATTAGCTACACCCGCTTATGTTCAACCCCCCAAAGCGATGAGAATTTATATTATATAAAAATACGAATGAACATTGGCGTATGTTTTAAACTAAAGCTCCTCGATTATAAAATTTCAAGTCTTATGGCATAAAAAAATTGCATTGCCAGTAGTTTAAGGAAAATCATAAACGTCAATATAATGTGACTGATTGGCGCTATTATAAACATTTGAGTTGCAACGGAATAGAATATAATTTATCTCATTAGGATGTTTAATAGTACATCAAAAATATAAAATCGAGCGTTTGCGTATGCATTTATTTCTTTAACAAATAACAAGACAAATGCTAAAAGCGAAAGAAATTAATCTATTAATTTTTATTTATTGTTTATGCACATGTGATTTGCATAGGCGGGCGTACGAGTATGTCGGAGGGGCGTTGGGAAACATTAATATGTTGGCATAATGTAACTTACGGCATAGAATTTACGATTTGTAATAAATTTTACGTAACATGATATTTCGATAATACGCGTAATAAATTTACTTTTGAAAAATACATTATATTATATCGATCGACATTATCATTTCTGCGTGACTAAAATTAAAAAACGTCATCTCTTAATTACACAGTGTGATATCGCAGTTCAGATTTAAAAAACACAATTACCACATCTTTCCTTTATTTTCACATTAAATATGAATTGTTTTAATAAACATTTTTAGCTGTGGTACGTATTACCTATGTGTCATATTTTTATGAAATTTCATCTCAATTACAAAGTTTGAATGTAATATAGTAAATTTACAAATGATGATAAAAATTTTGCAAACCATTTTGAATTTTCGTAATTTTCCTTTAAAAATATAATTATTATTTGTTTGTATTTGACTAGCTTGTAGAATTACAATTTTAAATTTCATGCATTTATAAGAACCAACCAATTACCATCGTTGTTGAGTATATTCGCCAAATAGATTTCGCTCATATTTTCTTGCCGGACCAAGTGTTATTGTCTCATGTTTTCTTAACTCCTTTATTATTATTTATTGAGCCACAGTGATTCCGTTGTAAAAAAATACTTTGTTAACTACAAAATTGGAAGATTTAATGCTGCAGCTAAGTAAGAATCGTAATACTTTAAATTTGTTGAAAACTTATAGCCTAACTAAATATCAGAAATTACGTATGTAGTTGTACGCCATTTTGTATATTATTCTACTTTAGAAACAAGTATTACCTTAGATTTAAAAAAGTAAACTCTGAACAGTCAGGTGTATTTAATGTCGAAGTCGAATATGGTTCTGAGTAAAAATGAATGCTCTGATATTAAGAAACGAAAGTCAGTATTGTTAGAATAATATTATCTTATGCTTGCGGATTTATGACATAAATATGGCGACACGCACTATTTTTATAAAAAAATAAATACTTTTTTGTATTAGGGACGATCATATTCTGAAAAGGCCGTAACATTTCCAGTAAGAATCCAAAATGGTTAGAGGTAAAAAATATTTTTTTATTAATAAAATAAAACAGTTTAATAGAGTCACATGTATCCGTATCATCTTATTATTATATTATATAAAGCTCTATATCGCAGTATACAAAGCTAAATTAATTTAAGGATAATATTTTGAAAACTACTTATTATTTCTCATGTATTAGAAAGAAAAAATTTTAATTTTTAATTTGATATTCAATAATATGACCATCGTTTATACGATCAATAATTATCATACCTATTTATTGTATGAATATAACAAACGAAAATTAAAACTATTATTTAATAGTATTCTTGATAAAGATGTACATAAATGGTTTATATTTTTTTACTATAATCAATATTCATATAATTCTAACTAAGTAATTATACGCTAATTTAAGCAATTATCAATAACTGTTACATTAATTACATGTAAATATTATTGTTTCTATTAAATAATGATTAATAATAATTTGTTCTGTAGAATATTGATATTATTAATATATTAAATGATAATAATTTAATTTAATAATAAATAAATAAAATTATAAATAGTAATGTAAGATTTATTGATAATTGCTTAAATTAGCGTATAATTACTTAGTTAGAATTATATGAATATTGATTATAGTAAAAAAATATCAAGACTCTGCGTCACAACAACAATCGCATCAAAATCCTCAGCCACAGCAAGGTTCGGGCTCTCAACAACAGGCGCAACAACAATTTCAACAACAGCCTCGACAACAACAATCTCAACAAGAGCCTAGGCAACAACAATCTCAAGAAAAGCCTAGACAACAGCAATCTCGAGAAAAGCCTCCACAACAGCAATCTCGAGAAAAGCCTCGACAACAACAATCTCAACAAGAGCCTAGGCAACAACAATCTCAAGAAAAGCCTAGACAACAGCAATCTCGAGAAAAGCCTCGACAACAGCAATCTCGAGAAAAGCCTCGACAACAACAATCTCAACAAGAGCCTAGGCAACAAAAATCTCAAGAAAAGCCTCGACAACAACAATCTCAACAAGAATTTAGGCAACAACAGGGTCATCAAGAACTGAGACAACAACAATCTCAACCAGTATATACACAACAACAGTCTCAGCAACAGCAACAACAACAGCCTAAACAGCAGTCTCAGCCACAGCAGCAACAACAACAACAAAAAAGCAGAAAACAGCCTCAACAACAACAACAGGCTGAACACCAGTTACAACCACAACAACAAAAATCTCAGAAAAAACGAAACAAATCTGGAAAATTCAAACACGAAGTAACTTGTACAGAAGGAGGACTGCAGGAAGAATTTTCATTTCTTCAAAAAGATGACTCTGATTTAGAACTTTCACAACAACAACAAGTGCCACCGCAACAACAACAAGCATGGTCACAAAAACAACAATTCCCACCTCTACAACAACAAGTGCCACCACAACAACAACAATTCCCACCTCTACAACAACAATGGCCACCTCAACCACAACAAGTGCCACCGCAACAACAACAAGCATGGTCACAAAAACAACAAGTACCACCTCAACAACAAGTGCCACCGCAGCAACAACAAGCATGGTCACAAAAACAACAAGTACCACCTCAACAACAAGTGCCACCGCAGCAACAACAAGCATGGTCACAAAAACAACAAGTACCACCTCAACAACAAGTGCCACCGCAGCAACAACAAGCATGGTCACAAAAACAACAAGTACCACCTCAACAACAAGTGCCACCGCAGCAACAACAAGCATGGTCACAAAAACAACAAGTACCACCTCAACAACAAGTGCCACCGCAGCAACAACAAGCATGGTCACAAAAACAACAAGTACCACCTCAACAACAAGTGCCACCGCAGCAACAACAAGCATGGTCACAAAAACAACAACTACCACCTCAACAACAAGTGCCACCGCAGCAACAACAAGCATGGTCACAAAAACAACAAGTACCACCACAACCACAACAATTGCCACCTCAACAACAACAATTGCCACCTCAACCACAACAAGTGCCACCACAACAACAACAAGTGCCACCGCAACAACAACAGGCATGGTCACAAAAACAACAACAATTGCCACCTCAACCACAACAGGCATTGCCAGACCAAAAACGAGGAAAGTCACAAACACAACAACAGGTATTGGCACATAAACAACCAGAAGTAGTACAACAGCAATCAAAAGTACAAATAAATCAATTATACAAATAATTATTATTAAATTATTATGAAATTTGCTATTATAAAGAAATAATATTATATTTTCATAAATCTAAATATAATATTTTAATATATCTTGAAATTCTAAATCATAGTAATTTTTAAAATAATAACAGCAAAATATTTATATTTTACAGGCACCAGATATCAAACATATAACTCAAGAAATATCTAAATTACCTTCACAAGTAATCAACTTTTTCACATTATTAATAAAAATAATCTCTATAATAATTAAATATAGCGATTAAACAAATACTAATGTTATAAATAACAAATTTAAAATTATATAAATATATATGTGTATATATAGTAATTTCGTTTTTTTTTTTGTAATTACGTTTATAATATTGTTTATATCAAAATGATTTTAGTTCTTGATTGGCTATTACAATTTTCTTGATTAATATAGAACTTTAAAAATTCTAATATATGAACAAAATTTACGAATAATATACATTAAATTATGTAGAATCAGTTTGAATATTAAATAATTATGCATCTGTAGATTTATAATAGAATATTAATAATTATAATGAAAAGTTTTCAATGCTTTTAACGAAATGTTTTATAAGAAGACCAATTGATACAGCAGTTAAATTCCTTAATTAGCTTCGTAAGACATTTAATTGCCATAAAATAATATGAAAATTATATTTTTTCTTAAACGAGGTTCAACGTGCGTCAAGTCAGACTCAAAATATATTGGCAAACATACCACGACGCAAAAACCCACTTAAAGCTGGTACACGAGGTCGTCCTATCGAAGTTTTAACCAATATGATGCAGATTAAATTTGGTTCGAAATTTCAACATTTAGCGATTCATTATGATGTGGATATAGTCCCTAATCTTCCAAAATACTTATTAAGACCAGCATTTAAAGCAGCGAAAAGTATATTATTTCCAAATAGAAATCCAGCTTTTGATGGAAAGAAAAATGCTTTTAGTGCTGGACGTTTACCTATCGCAGATCCAGTATGTATTCAGTTAAACAATTTATATAAATATCTTTTATAATAAATGTAAAGTAAACATATAATTCTTTGTGGAGGAATCAATAACCGTAAAGGTTCATAACGAAGATGGTAGAGAAAAAGAATTTCGAATTACCTTTAAAATTGCTAATGAAATTGATTTGTCATGGCTCAGACATGTAAAACCTGGTATAGAAAAAGATGATAATCATCAGCTTGGATTGCAAGTTCTTGATGTCATATTGCGCGACGCTCCATCTAACAATACAATAACGGTAAAATTTGATTTAGAAAAAATTTTTGAAAAAAATTATTTATTATCTATAATGGAATTAAATTTCGTCATAGATTGCACGCTCATTTTTTTCACCACCCAAAGGGCAGGTGCTATCTTTGGGAGGTGGTCTAGACTTATGGACTGGATTATTTCAATCGGCAGTTTTAGGCTGGAAGCCTTACCTGAATGTGGATGGTAATTTATATAAAATATTTGCATGCAAATGATTATTATTAAATAAATTTTAATAAATATTCAATTATAGTGTCGTACAAAGGATTTCCAAAATCGCAAAACGTAATAGACTTATTGAAAACAATTTGCAGCGAAGAAGGTGGTGGTAGAGGTCGCCAAGGACCAAATATCAATGATCCTAATGAATTATTAAATTTAATTCATTATAATATGGATAATATTAAGAAATTTTTAAAAAATATAAAAGTAACGGTGGAGATCCCAGGTCAAGCTACATCAAGAAGAACTCAGCGTATTAATGATTTAGTAAAGTGCCCTAGAGACAATATGTTTGTATGCAATGGTTCAAAAATAAGCGTCGAGCAATATTACAAATCTGAAAAAAAATATGTTATTAAATATCCATTTTTACCTTGTCTTTGGGTTGGTCCTAGAGATAAAAATATACATGTTCCACCCGAGGTATGTTACGAAAATACATGTATATGTATATATATATATATATATATATATAAAATTTGATGTCATTATTCAATTTTTTTATATAGATTTGTACGATTGTGTCTGGTCAGACAGTACAGAAGCCTTTAAATCCTAATCAAACAGCATCGATGGTCAGATACGCAGCAACGAGTACCACCATTCGCAAAAAAAAAATACTCGAAGCTGTAAATAATGAAAAAATAAATTTTAATATTACAGTAAAGTTGAATTTTCTTAATTTGTTCTATATAGTTTCAGTCGGTTGACTATGAGCGAAACCCATGTATGAACGAATTCGACATTTCCATTAATGGTGAATTTGAAAAAGTACCGGCGCGTGTTTTGGACCCACCACAGTTGTCGTATCAAAATGGAATTTGTCGTGTAGCAAAAGGAATATGGCGACCAAATAAATTTTTAAAACCAAGTTCATTAATTTCTAGCGATGGTTCATGGACCATTTTAAACCTTACCAGATTTCCCGATGATAGACAACTTTATGAATTAAATAATGCATTAGTGCAAACAGGTAAATTGTTAATACTTAATTTGCATATGCGTAAAGAATATAATTAATTCATTACGCAGGTAAAAATGTTGGTATGCAAATTGGTAAGCCTGTAACGCCATTTAGAAATATTCAGTTAAGAGGGTCTGATATTAGAGAGCTCAGTGCGTATTTTAATGAGCAGAAGAAAAAAGGCCTAAAATTGATAATAGTCATTGTTTCAGAGACCAAAGGACTTTATGGTATGTAATTCAAGCATATTATTTAAGATCGAATATAAATATTAAAATTATATTCTAGGTAAAGTTAAGCAAATAACCGAACTCAATGTTGGCGTTTTAACGCAGTGTTTAAAATCCAAGACTCTTATGAAATTATCTGATGCTACACTTACAAATATTTTATTAAAAATTAATGCTAAATTAAATGGTATTAATCATACATTTGAAACTAAAATGAGGTATTATAATAGTAGTTACAAATACTTTATATTTTAGTTTTTATTATAAACGTTATTTTAAAGTCAAATTATTTTTTTTTCCAGTCGACCAAAATGCCTAAATACACCGTGCATGATTGTTGGTGCTGACGTTACACATCCATCACCCGATGCAATTAATATACCATCTATTGCAGCAGTAATAAATTTAATATTTTATTCTAATTAAAAATTAATTAATATTACCGTAAGCAATTTTTAAATACAAATTTGCATTCTTTTCTCATAGATTACTGCCAGCCATGATCCTAATGCATTTATGTATAATGTTGAAATAAGATTACAACCTCCGAGGCAAGAAATTATCAGCAGCCTTACAGAAGTTATCATAATTCAGTTAAAGTATTTTCTACAGAAAACTGGACATCAACCGCAAAAAATAATTTACTATAGGTAGATTTATTGCATAAAGTTACATTCTCAATTCTTAAAGTTATCTTAAAGTTTATTTGTTTGCATAATATTGCGATATTTATAGTTGTGAACGTTTGTATTCAAAGATTAAAAGTTTCTATTTGAAGTAGACAAGTAACATAATTTAGCTACATATGTGATATGCAAGAAATTTGTACAAATTCTACCAATAAAATAATCTCGGCATAAATTGTGAACAACACGGTCGATAAATTTTATCATTTAATAATTAAATGGCCATTTTGATGTTTAATTACACGAATGTATTTAACTCTATAGAGATGGTGTTAGCGAAGGGCAGTTTCATGAAATAATGAATGAAGAACTCATGGCTATTAGAAGAGCTTGTGAAAAATTGAATCAATCCTATAAGCCACATATTACATTCCTAGTTGTTCAAAAAAGGCATCACATAAGATTATTTCCTCTTCAGCCACAATTTTCAGACGATGCCCATAAAAACTTTAATGTCCAAGCTGGTACCATCGTTGATACGGCAATTACTCATCCTTCTCATATTGATTTTTATTTAGTTTCACATGCTAGTATTCAAGTAATTATATTTTAATAACTTTATTATTGGAGAACATAATTGATACGGACAAAATGACATTGATTGTTTATTGAATTGAAACTAGGGTACAGCGCGTCCAACCAAATATAGATGTTTATGGGACGATTCGGACATGTCGGAAGACGAAATTGAGAATTTAACTTATTTTCTTTGTCATATGTTTTCGCGGTGTACAAGATCGGTCAGTTATCCTACACCAACATATTATGCTCATCTCGCTGCCTTTAGGGCAAGGGCTCTTACCGAAGAGTAAGTTGATCTTGTTTATATATATTTTTTGTAATATATAATCGTTTTAAAAATATTAATAATTGTTTTTCTTTCAGTGTGCCCATTAGTCTGCAACATTTACAACAAGAGCAGCTTAAGAAATTAACCATTAATTCCGAAATTTTGAAAGGAATGCCAATGTTTTTTGTATAAAATTATTCTTAAAAATATGAATATTTTTGTTTTTTACACTAAAGATTATATAATAATAATAATGTTTAATTAATAAGAAATCACTTTTTTTACTTGATCTTACAGTAACTATGTATGTACTGTACTAGTAAACAGATCAAGCACGACAAATTAATGTAGAAGCTGAAATGTATGTAAGAATAATAAATAAAATAATCTAACAGTTATTAATAAGTTAACGTTAGCTTTATATTATTCATAATTTGTAAAACGTAATAAGTATAACGTAATAACATAATAAGTGTAACGTAAATAAGTATTCAGTTTTCTTAATTAATTAATAAAGTTTAGTGTTATCGTAAATTATTCAAGAAATTCTTAGTATCGATATTACACTCTTTTGTATTTCATCTGCACATAAATAAAGTTCAACGCGTTCACAATGATTACGTGCGCCTGAAACTCATACATACACATATATCTTTATTGATTAGATCGCCCGCTCCGACGACTGTAGTTAAAAATGAAAATATTCACATAACATAACTTTTAAATTCTTTTTAAATTAAAAATTTGTTTGTCAATTTTACTAACGTGATAATATTCTTCATTATTATGCTTGTGTGATGGTGAAATGAGAATTTCCTTCAGTCAAGGCATTTTTTTCACTTTGAAGTTCTCATTTCATTCTGACTTTTAATTAATCAAAATACAAGTTGCCCCGTCATTTTCAAAAGCATATCTTCAATCATCGAATATTCAATTAGTTTCTTAATCGTTATAATCAACGAGTCGCATTCGGATAATTCATTTATACGTCTTGATTTTAACAATTCACGTGTGTAAAATTTCAAACGAAAGTAATTTACCATTTGCATTTATTATTATAAAACTAATTTAAAAACTGTGTTTCAGCAAATTATTAACCGTGAAAATAATGAGAAATCAAAGGAAGTAATAAGAGAAGCTAAGTGCCGATTTAAGTTCAATTTTCCAAGAAATTCCTTGACACCTGTATTATATCATTGTAAATTTTAATTTTCCAAAATGGAAAACTACCGCCAACGTATAATAAATGGTTTTTTCAATAAAAAAAAAAAAAAAAACAACAACAACAATAATAATAATAATAATAATAATAATTACCAACGCAATGTATTATTTTAAATTTATTTTATGAAATTATGATTTATGCTAAGCAAAACGTTTCCGTAATAGTAACAAATTTACAGTTCTCGTATAATTTAATCGATTTATTTTAAGAGCAAGTGAAAGTGTACATTTCCATTTATTTGGAAAACTATCACATGATGATTATACGATATACATGCATTATAAGACCACATAGTTATCCTCCCGTCCCCCGCTTCCCGATGCTTATTTGCAGCGATAATCTGGTACATTGAGAATCTTATCGAGAAAATTATCGAACTTGATAAGAGAAATTTTATCAGAGCCTCATAGTTCGAACATTGCTGAAACTCGTAGTGAGCCTCGAGCCACCATCGTCTGCAAGAATAGCCGAGCTTGAGGATAAAAATGTCGTTGTGTGCCGTTAGCAGCAACATTTAAAATATTCTGAACAAGATGTGTCTTGGTGTAAGGACGGCTCTAGGACATCACGGACTTGGAAAATTAACGAGCCATTGGCTTAAAGCTCACTAGTTCTCATAAAGCATGGCATTGCGTGGCATTGCGTGGTATTGCGTGGCATTGCATTATTCCCCATTGGAATTGGAGACGATGTTTTTAAAGAGCGGATCCTAATTCTCCCAATGGCCGTACGATTATTCATGAAATTGTCGCTCGATCGGCCAACATTATTAAAAATCAATCGTACGATCAAGCTTTATCAAATTGCTGTATTATAACGGCGAATCGATGAACAGTCTCTTGTCACAATTTTTTCGCGGTGCCTCGTTAGTTGCGCCGATTACGCGCTTGTAGAAACATCACAATAGCTTTATTATAAAAGACACTATGGAATACGAGATTTATTATTGTTTATTGTAACTTAATCCACATTCCAGTCGGTGTGACTCAAGCTTGGCTCGAGACTGGCGATCGCCCTCCCATGAACCTAATTGTAATTAGCCATTGTGATGCGTTAATGGTAAATGAATATTTTGTATTATACGTTTATTTATATTATATTATACGCTCGTGCGACAGCAATTGCGAACAAAGCAGCCGGAGATTTTATTCACCCGCGGATTAAAAAATTAACCAAAGCGCTGTTCATTATTATTATTATTCATCGGTTATACATCTCTTCGCATTCGCCTCCTCTTATCTTTTATTATCATTTTTCTAATAGTCTTACTTTCTCGAAAATGCATAATGTTAATAAAAATATAATAGAATGGAATTGTAATTTTGTTGTAGGATCGTAACTGAACATGAAAAGGCGCGAACATGGATGAGAAAATTCCACTATGAGTTTCCACGTTCTATTGAAATTTGGTATAACATTAGTTATATACATTACTTGTTCTTAAGTTATCCTTGGTAGTTTTTTCGCATCCGAGATATTTATAAAAGCTTTTGGACAATGAGACTTAAATAATTCGTTGTTTTTTTTTTTTTTTTTTTTTTTTTTTTTTTTTTTTTTTATAGAAGAAACAGTTATTCCGCGAGTTTGTACGAGATGTCTATTTTTAGAGTCACTCGTTTCCCGTCATCACTTTTTACAATCACGGTTTTTTGAAATCCCGTGGTCTACTCGCATACGGATCTTATTCCAAAGACTCTCGTTCACGAAAAGTTCTACCTTTCGCCAAAACTATCCATTGATCTGCATAGCCCTTGGTGAAATAATGTTGTAGTCTGCGATGCGACTTCGATTATGCACGCGACGTAATACAATTAGTTTTTATTATTTCATCGAATCGATGCATTTGTTGCCAAATCCCATCGCGCCTTACGTCTTACGACCATAATAATAATAATAATGGCTTTCAATAATTTTATATAGTTTATTGATCGAAATCTCGAGGGCTCTATTATTCAACTGACTCATCCTATCAACTGACGTATCCTATAATATATCGTAAGCCCTATAAAAATTCTATTGCAATTCTTTATAACTTTATGAAGACGTAATTAGTAATTTACGCGTATCGTAAAGGAATAATGATTACGGCAAAAGTCCGATGTTATTTGTTTGTGATTGTTTAAAAGGAATAAAGTGATTAATGGAAAATGGAATGACGCGGCGAGAAAAGCTTATCGTATTATCATATAGTCGACGACAGCCACCATTGACCAAACATTGGTTAGGACCAAACAACGTGTTAAGAGTGTTTCGGTTTCTTTTGACAGCAGCTTATAAATCGGCAAAGGTTCATCGAGCGCGATTATTCGACAACGAGGACAATGCTCGTAACGACAAGGAAGTAATTGTAAAGCGATGAAAATAAAGGCGGCGTTTCGTTCACGATTCGACTGCTAAAAAAAACTCCAATAACCACGGCACTCGGATTTTGAAATGTCAAGCTGTTGGCGCCAGAATGCCTGACCACTCGGCAAAGGGCCAATGAGAAGGTCGTAAAATTGTGACGTAGAAGAATGCGAGAGCGGCAGCCTCGCGTTCCTCTTCCGCTTTAATCGCTTTAATGCGCGTTCGTGGTGTTGGTAGAAGGAAGATGGCTTCCCCTCGTACGGGGACAGTCGCATTACTTTCCAAGGATTGCGCGCTCGCGTTAATAATTATCAATCTCGGTACAATGGATAAGCACGCGAGTACTCTCGCTTGTTGAATTGCCGAGTAGAGTAAGGACGACCTTGAGTGCGTGGAGAAAGCGTTCGTGGAGCAGCGGCAGTAGCAACAGCAGCAGCAGTTGGCAACTCGTCGTCTATTCTTCTCTTGTTCGGGCTATCACAAAGGGTAGCCAACGAGAGTAGAGAGAGAGAGAGAGAGAGAGAGAGAGAGAGAGAGAGAGAGAGCGCGTGTGGGCGTGCGTGCGCGAGCGCGCGCGTACGTGTACGAGGGAGCGTGAGTGAAGCGAGTGAGTGTGTGTGATATATATATATATATATATATATATATATATATCACACACACTCACTCGCTTCACTCACGCTCCCTCGTACACGTACGCGCGCGCTCGCGCACGCACGCCCACACGCGCTCTCTCTCTCTCTCTCTCTCTCTCTCTCTCTCTCTCTCTCTCTCTCTCTCTCTCTATATATATATATATATATATATATATAGAGAGAGAGAGAGAGAGAGAGAGAGAGTGAAGGGCCAGCCACTCTGTAGGGAGACACGTATCAATCTTGAGGATCGGTAAGTAAGGTACGTTAATTAGCCATGATCGGTGACAGTTGACGGGTCGTGTGAATAGTTTGGTGAAAGGGGCGACCCGTTGCGCTTCTCCTCCCCCATCTTCCCTGCCCCAGGTATCGTGACGAATATCGGTGATGAGCCGCGTTTTTTTTTCGTCGCTACCAAACAAATCGCGATAATCGGTAATAAGCGAGGATGTTCCATGGGATCCGATTATCCGAGTCGAAGACTCCATGTATTATTAGAGCGAGAAAAGAAAGTACGAGGGAAGAAAGTACAACGATCTTGCTGCTGACAGAACGCGTACGCATGTGCGCGAGCGGCAGCGCGGAGGGCGAGTGGATAGAGTCGACCAGAAGGAGGTCGTTGTTCTTCAACGGTGGCGCATATTTTTCTCTGCCCGTGTCTCCCGAGATCGTCCGCTTATCCCTTCGACTGTCGACGTTAGGGAATTTTCCACTGTTTCGAACAATGAGAAAATGTTCGTAATAAAATTGTAGTAGTAGCGGTAGAAATTCTTATTGTTGTTGTTGTTGTTGTTGTTGTAGGCAGGCAGTAGTATAAGTAGTAATAGTAGAGGTGACTGGAGTAATTGCAGTAATAGTAGTAGTATATGAGTAAGTACAACGAACACCTAACAATAAACTTGTACTCGGTTACGTAAACGAAGCAAGTGGTTTGTGTTTTTTTTTTTATTTCTTTTTTTAATTTTTAAGGAGTTTCATCATCCCCGAGTCGCATTGCGTTGAGAGTATAGACTTTCCTTCTTCTTTTTATTATCGATAAGAGTTGGCTACGCCGTTGTTTGAATCACAAAGGAAGATATATAATTGATACAAAAGAAAAAAAAAAGGAAAAAAAAATTGGCTCCACACTGTAAAGGGAATAACGATTAATAAGTAGGAGGAGGATGGAGTGTCGATTAAATTTCAATTAAAGGAGGCATACGTAGGGGAAGCAAGCGTCGAAGCTTTAAAAAAAGAAGGTGACGATGATCGGTTACGCGAGACCCATAATCGTGGTCTGTCGATACGTTGACGTTTCTAAAGAGAAAAGAAGAAGAAGATGTTGACGGAGGAGGGGGAGGAGGAGAAGGAGGAGGAGAAGGAGGAGGAGGAGGACCGTGCGGGATCCGCGAAAAGCGGAGATAGCGAGTGGCCGGGATCGATCGATCGTATTCCGTTGAGGCGCGACGGCGACGGTGACGGTGTCGAGCCCTATGGCCCGGCTAATTCGGCTGCTGCGTCGCTCGTAAATAAGGCGAGAGAGCGCCCGTGTCTATCGATTGGTCGCGGGGAAGTTTGACGGGGTGCGCGCGTCGGCGGCGCCTGGACGACGTGGTGGAGGCGATCCTACGACAACCCCCGACGACGCTTGCGACGCAGTACGGGACTAACGGGCAGCGCGTCATTCGCCAAGAGTCGCGCGAGGTCCACGAGCGCATCGTCTCCTCATCCGTCACCTCGGACACTCGTCCCGGATTCTCTAGTGAGCGCGTGCGCGTCGGCTCTCGGCGGCAATGCTCTCGAGATATGTAATATAGTGCGCGCGGAGGGGGTGCCGAGCTGTTCGATACGACAATTCGCGAGTTGAGCTGTGACGTCGATCGCCTCGTCGCCGTGGAAGGAAGGTATCTATCGTTGCTATCAGCGAATGATTTACATTTTCCCTTAACATTTATCTCGGGTTACTACACGCTACAATCGCGGCTCAGTAACGCCTCTTCCGAATTTCGGACACCGTTTTCTTCGTCTAAATTTATATGGAATGTCGGCTCGCTGCAACGCGATGCTCACTCTTACGTTTCCAACTCGTCCTTATTGTTACGTAACGCTTATTGCTGGCTTAATTGCCGCGCAGTTGTTATAATAACTTTTTCGTAATATCAGACCATCGAAATATACTTCGAAATATTCACTCTTCAATTCAAATACATATTCAAATATTTTGGCGGTGTGAGAATTAATTTTTATTACCGGCTAAATAATCATTATTCGCCTTACAATGCTCTGTTTTCAATTACGAATGTTACTTGCACATTCGTGCGCGCATTAATATTTAAATAATATTATTTACGCGCTTGATAATTACGTTATATACAAATTTCCTTCTACCTACAGTCGATACTTTAGAACTTTGCAAATTTAAGCATAAATTACATGCTCTCTGCGCATACTTTTGAAATTATATCAATTTAAGTATAAATTATACGTGTAGATATATATGATTTTGTGACTGCATAAAGATTGGGTAAGGATTTCTCTTTCTTTTCTTTCTTTTCTTTCTTTTCTTTCTTTTCTTTCTTTTCTTTCTTTTTTTCTTTTTTTCTTTTTAATTATTACCCTTTAATATAAGTATTTGTAGTGAGGGTAGAGAATATATGTCGACTAAGTGTATTATCAAAAATTTAATGCATTACGTACGAATAATTTTTGTTATATTATTAAATCGAGCAGTTAGGATTCCTTAGATTATAATCACTTGATAAAATAATGAATTTTTTATGGATTTTTTTTTATTTATTTTTTTTTTTTTAATTAATTAATTAATTGTATAATACATGAAGGGCTTAAAGCACTTGGATTTTTGTTTAAAAAAGAATGAGAGGAAGACCAATATACTATAATGATCAATTAAAGACAACTTATTAAGGCTTGTAAGATTGATGATAGATTAATTTGCTTTGTACTTTAATGTTTGGCTAAATGTTGATGTGCAAAGATAAACGAATAACGACAAGCACTAATTGCAATGTGATTGTTGTTTATTCTCACGCTTATGCTTATAAGCCAAAGGGATGCATTTAAGAGTCTCGCAAGTCTTAGCGCTTTAATAATTTTGTGAAAAAGGAGCCGAGTTATGTAAAATTTGGCCGAACTGGTATGAAAAGAGAAATGTGAGGTGGGTGGATGGGTGGGTGACGTTAGGATTAACGATGAAGGGATTGAAGGGAGATGGGAGATGGGAGAAGGGATGATGAAGGAAGGGTGAAAACGATCGATGCGAAAGTGAAAAGTCGCGCTGTTACGAGGATGAGGTAATCTGGTCGACTAAAGCGTTGTCGTCCTCTGGACGCTGGCTGTTTCAGATCAGGAGAAGGGCCGTAAAAGCATGCAAGGGCTAGGGTCATAGGAGTGGTGACCTAAGCTGCGGGTGTCGTAAGGCGCAGGCGGGGCGAGCGGGGCCTTCGATGCTTAAGCTACGATTGGTGTCGACCCACTTTCTCAAGCAGCCATAGGCAGCGCTTCGTGCCATGTGTCGCGACCGGGACATGAACCCGTGAGCACCTGGACTGATCGCACGTGTCGAGATACGCCGTTGTCAGCGAGTTGCCCGTTATTCGACGCCACCGCAGCCATCACCGTCGCCGACGTCGCCGCAGTCACCGCCGTAGTCAGACCACCACCACCGTCGCCACCGTCACCACCACTACACCGCTACCACCACCACTGTCACCACCACCACCACCACTGTCACCACCACGACCGCCGGCAGTCGGCGCCTCGGCGATGGCGCCGGGATGCGTCTGAGTGCCGGGACGCGCGGCAATACGAGAAGATCTGCGGCCAACGAGTGACAGAGGCCCAGCTAAGTGGTGCCGACCTTACTTGCCATTGGACACCCCACACATCAACCTGTGGAGAGTCGCGAAAAAGTGTATTGTAAGTATGACTTTCTATCCTTAAACACATCGTTATCCTTATCCTACTTTATCCTCCTCTTTTTATTATTCAATTATCCATTTGTCTTTCCCTTCATTTCTTCCTATTCGATCATCAATCGTTCTTTGACTCAAGAGTTTTTCTCGCTCGCCGGGAGCATTATTTATCCGATAACACGCCGAATGAACTAGACTATGAACTTTCAAGCTTGAGTCCAGTGTAAATTTTACCGATAACAAAGATATTTAATGCTCTTTTAAAGCCAGAAAGCTCGAAGGAGTTTACTTTAAGCTTGAATTTCTTGTCAAAACAATGTAATAATATAACTTCAACAACAACAACAACAACAAATCTATCTATCGATCTATCTATATATATATATATATATATATATATTTACAAACAAACTCTCATGCCTACCGGTTTTAATAAAATACAAGTATATTTAAACAAATACACAAGCACACGTATACACATAAATAATTTACTCTGCAATTTTACTCCTGTGAGTAGAAATTCCATTCGACGAATTGACATACATCGTCATGTAATAATATTTCAAGTATGTAGAATAAATTGATTCAATCTATTTGCATTTTCTTCCTTGACGCCACAGTTTTTATTTTAATTTAAAATGAAAACATCTCCAAAGAATTCTAGTAAAAAAAAAAAAAAAAAAAAAAAACCTGCCCATTATCATGATTATTATTAAATATTAAGACTTTTGATGACTATGGAAGTTCTAAATATTTATTTGGTATATTAATTTACGAGTTATTTATATCATCACTGAGCTTTCCTACAATATTTAGTTCTACTACTTTAGTCGGAAAATATTGTTGTCTTTATCAATATTTAATACGACTTGAGTACACAGTTTGACAAGTGACTCGAATAATCAATGCATTATTTCTTATTGGCTATTTTTACTTTCATATACATTTTCGAGCTTCGTATCTACTTACATCAATTTCAATAATCAGCCTGTATTTATTAAATTACCAAAAATACTTGAATTATCTGCAATCAATAATTTGACATTATCATGGTATTGATTTTATTTATTTATTTTATTTATTTTTTTAATTTCTACTATTTATAATAAGTGCATGTCTAATAAGTTTGCGTACAATTTCTTTTCCCACAATGGGTAAGAATGTAATCGTTATGCGCTTATTTAATGAAAACGTAAATAATTTTAATGAAATTCAACTACCACAGTCAATAAAGTCTTTATTTAGCATTATTCTAACTTCTTTTTATTAATTATATTTACAATCGATATTTGAACAAATATGCTTCTACTTATAGCGATTGAATTATTATCATGATATTACTTGAGCTTATTTCGTATTTATACATTATAAATGTTCAATATTTAATTTCGTTTAATTTAATTCTTAAAAAATCGATATTAAATATATTAAACGGTCAATTAATATTTTGGCTAATTCATTTACGCGAAAATTACGTTTTATTGTTACAATATATTATTTCGTTCAAGCCAATGACATATTCCAGTCCTAAAGTACTTTTTAACTTTTCAAATTAACATTTGTTTCATTTCATCATTTCATTATACTTAAATACAATGGCTCTGCGCTTTTTTTTTTTTTTTTTTTTTTTTTTTTTACAAGATAAGACATATTTGTAATTTTTAACAGTTGTGAGACAGTGGATTAACATGATGATCAATAAGTGCGATGGCACGTGTACTTATCGACATCTCTCCATTTCCCCCACGCATTTCTCGAACTTTGGAGAATAACAAAAGCTTCGTAAAACTTCCACTTGCGTCCAGAATTAAAATATCAAAGGACGTTCCTCTAATTACATATCCTCGAATAACCCGGTAATAACATTCTCGAGCAACGATAACCCTTTCCACTTGTCGGGACTCGAGACCATGGACGACAACGACGACGACAACATGATCGCTGTTGTTGTTCAATCCCAGTATCCTGCCCATATTCATCTAATCTCGGCGAGCGTCATTAATGAATCGAATAACTCTGATTTTGCCTTTGTCGGCCAGTGCGGCAGTGGGTCGCGGTGCAGGCGAAGCAGTGGGATGAGAGGCCCTCAACAAGAGGCTAATCAGCAGCAGCAGCAGCAGCAGCAGCAGCAGCAGCAGCAGCAGCAGCAACAGCAACAGCAGCAGCAGCAGCAGAAGCAGCGACGGCACCTGAGACGCACTGAAGATACGGATGCGGAGGAGGAAGAGGAGGAGGAGGAGGAGGAGGAGGAACAAGAGCGGAGACCGGTCGTCGAGGCATGTCACCACCAGCAACAGCAACAGCAGCAGCAGCAGCAACAACAACAACAACAACAACAACAACAGAGAGATGAATCACGATTGGCGCGGGTGAAGCGAACGCTCCTGGGCCGCGGTACCTCAGCCCCAAGCGGATGCCATGGCGGCTCCGGGCGCACCAGTTTCGGTGTGGAGCTCGAGCTCGCGCCCCATGAATGCGGGGTGCCCCACGTCGTCCACAGGATCTGCCGCTACATCGAGGCTCACGGATTCCACAACTCGGCCCTCTTCCGAATGGCGAGCGGCAGCTCGCGACTCGCCGAGCGTCTGCGGCTCGGTTTCGAGCGCCGGGGTGACGCCGACCTCGAGGCCGCCGCCTGCCCAGCGACCGCAGCCCTCCTCCTCAGACAGTACCTCAAGGAGCTACCCAAACCCCTCGTCGGATCCACCTGCGTCTCCAAGCTGCTGCAATTACACTCTCGTTAGTATCTGCGCGTTCCGCCACTTAGCTACGTCGACGATAACGAGCGCGATCGGGACGATCGATGTTCCACGTCGTCATCGCGAGTCTTAATGCAAGAGTTCGAGCGAGTTGGAAAAAATTATCCGCGGTAATGGTAATAACCATCGGGGTCTCGAGCGATTCGCGAGCAAATTAACGAGGGCGCGAATCAGCGATAGTCGATGGGGATTCGGGTGAAGGAACTCGAGCTCGGCGCTCGCGGATTATGAAACAGACAGGGATAGAGAGTAACGTATTGACGATCGCGTGTTCGCAGAAGAGCGGCCCAGGAATCGAGAGTGCTGGATCAATAAGACCCGAGAGCTGCTGGCGAAGGAGTTGCCCGGTGCCAAGGGTCGACTCCTCGAGTATCTGCTCCTCTTCCTCGGGCGCTTCGAGCACCAGCATGGCTGCAGCGCAGGCTTACCCGGTATATTTGCGCCTCTACTCGTACCCCACGTGCCCCCTGCGACGCTGCTGATGCGCGACCTCCTAGTCGACGCTTCCCTCATCTATCCGGATAGCAGCAGGTAAGGAAACTCTCGTGCGCCTCTCGTGTATGACCTTCCGAATCGGATATGCTGGGTGCAATGCACTCGGATGGTATTGCGACCGGGAGTTGGATTTCATCAATGAAACTGGCTGGAGCGAGCAAATGCCTCAGCAATCACCTCGATCTCGTAAATATTTAAAAACATTATCAAGAATTCTTAAATATTTCGATTGCAATCAATGATTCGAAAAATATTCAGGATATAAGTAATTATTGATTTCGTGATTATGCAAGTTGCTGCTATTCGACTCCAATATAAGACTTCTATCTACAGTTAGAATTTTTTATTTCACTTTTTCTTTTATTTCTCCCTTTCTGTTATAATCTCATACCCAAGATCGTATTATTTGTTAATTTTGTGTCGTAGTTGCATATCCCTACATTTTATCACTATTCGAATAAATACTTATTGAATAAGTAGCTTGAAATTTGGATTTTAACTCGTCGTGCTGTTACAGTAATTATTATTGGTCCATTGCAATTGCAAACGATTAAAGCTTTAATGCTAACAACGTTGCTATTGTGTAATTATTGCATTAGAAAAGATAGAGAGAAAGTAATAAAGCAGGTTTATAATTTTAATTTAACTCGTAACTAGTATTTATATCTTATTTACATCTCGAATTTATATCGATATAATTTATATTGGAGAAATTTTTGAAAAATGTTACATTCATCTAAGAATTAAAAACAAAAACAAAAGAAAATAAACAGTAATCCGTAGTTAAATACTTTTTAATTGTTATTTTATTTTAAGCAATGTGCGATATTCTTCTATCAAATTGCTAATGTATTTATTGAAGATGTTCGGAGGCAAATATAAGAGAGGCTCTTCCCAATAAACTAAATAAATATTAATTAATAAATTTGTTCCGTTGTGCCGTTCCTTTTCTTCCATTTAAATGTAAAAAAAGAAAAAAGCTTTCCAACAATAATAATTCGTCACTTCTAAACGTCGGAGTATTGTATAAATAATATTGAAATGCCGAATTCAAATAAGGCAAAAGCGCGAATTAAAAATTACAAGCGACAAGTTGCAAATACATTTGTTTTTTTTATTTTTATTCGATTACTAAAACATCTGCTGACAATCACTGCTTCTTATCGCCATTGGGAATAATATATCGTTTTTTTTTTTTTTTTTTTTTTTTTTTTTTTTTGGTAGCGAGCTATCGGGATTCAGTTTGTATAAAGAAAGACGAGTTAACAATTCAATGATACAATAATACAATAATATTCAATGTCCCGATGTGGACAATTGGCGCGTTATATAACATGTTAGCAGTTTCTGCTTTCTTTTCATTGTGCCACCTATACGGAAGCTATGTAATATAGAACTCTGTATAGAAACTGATATTATTGTTTTTCAATGGCAAATAAAAGAAATTTCTCCCAAGTTTTATATCAGAGAGGCTCAGTCGGGAATTACAATACCAAATTATTATAATTTTGACGTTTTGAATGTATGTGAACATTTGTACAATCCACTGTGTAATTGATCGATGGCATATGGCGTGACAAAGCGAGCGATTGTACCAGTAAAAGCATTCGTTATTCTTTCTCCCCACAATTTTCAAGACATGCCAAAATTAAAAATTTTTCAGCTAATAACTAGGACTTGAAATAAACACTAATGTGTACGAAATATTATGACATGTATCATCATTTGATAGAACAGAGCAAAATTAAAACGAATAAAAGATCCGAGCTCTCGAATTTACATAGATTATATGCAATCTACAATATAATCACTGATGAAATGTTTGTCGGTGTATAAATAACCGAGTTAAGCAAATGAAGCTAAAACCTTGATTTTTTTTTTAATTTGACAAATTTTGACACTCATTGTATTGGTGATTCGTGCATTACATAATTCGTACAAGCTTCGTTTTCATTACAATATCTGTGTCTCTATTTTTCTATTGTATTACTCTATGCGCAGGTACAGTTTGTTGTTTGTTGTAGTGTCTAACATAAAGAAAAGATGCGTTCTGTTGATTGACAAGACAAAATACTTGTAATCTTATTATTATTATTATTATTATTATTATTATTATTATTATTATTATATTGTTGTTGCTGTTGTTGTCGCTGTTGTTGTTCTCTCTCTCTCTCTTCGTATTCCGTTTTTTCACCTGTTTAATCTGGAAGCTTTATGAAATGTCATAATGCATTGCTTTGGGAAGCCTGCAAAAATATCGTTGATAGCCATCTCGTGGTGCACGTAGTTGTTAGTCAGGGTCAAGCGTTAATATCTCTGGGAATCGAACAAATTAAGGAGATTCCCCGAACTCTTACCGACATATGCGGGGCTTCGCAAAAGCACAACGCCTCGCCTTATTATAATGCCAGTTATGTATCGATGTTGTTTTAACGATTTTCTGATTTCTTGTACAGTCTTACGTAAAACTTCATAGTCTGGCTTATTTATTTATTCTTTATTCAATTACATTTATTTGTTCAGCTTTCCTTATTCTGTCGGTCGGTTTTGGATTAGTTTAAAAAGCTTACATGAACATACGTACTATTAATTTAGTTTTATTCACATCAAATTTTCAATCTTTTGAAGATGTATTTGCTCTTATTCGAATCGATTTGTCCCGATAACTTTTAAACATTGAATTTTTATATACATATGGTTGATTTAAAATTTATCATAAATTGATAATAAGGAATAAATTGATACTATCGATATTTGCTTCTGACTGGGGAATATCAATGTCAAGAAGAGAGGAATAGAATCGCGAGCAAATAAACAGAATACAGTGATTAAACTTGATTCTCGATAATTTCTTAATAAATACATATATATATATATATATATATATATATATATAAGGTATAAACTAAATACAAAAAAAAAAAAAAAAAAAAAAAAAAAAAAAAAAAAATAAAGAAAAAAAAACATATATTTTCAAATTCTTACAATTGACACAAGAAATGCAATTTTTCTCTAAATTAGCAGCAATTGTAATAATGTAGCTCTAAATAATGAATCTAAACGTATTAGTTAAAATTGTTTCCCAATAGTAATCAACAATTTTATTTTATACATAATATATCTCACATTCAAAAGATACCACTTTGCACTCAATAATGAGAAATAATGTTTCTAAGAAAATAGTTGAGACAGTACTCGTTAGTTCTAAAAATATCACCAAATTGTGCATTCATTCGCTGTCACCTATATCGCATTCACAATTAGCGTAATTTCTAAATAATAAAGCTATATAATCAAAATTCAAATTGACATTGGCCGCGCCATCTATTTAGCCTAGCGTCATTGGCTCAGCAAACTCGTGGTGACTGTCGCAGACCAACCTTACCTTATATATTCAGATATTACCGAAGATTCGCTCTCATATTATATAGTAATGATAATCTATTTGTGATAATCGGGGAAGACTCACTAATGCATCTGTCGAAAGTGTGGCCACCTGGGGATTTAATCCCAGTACTACTTGCCTCTCGATGATATTTACTACCTCCCGTTTTGGAAAAATTGCACTTTAGATTAAGAAATTAATCCAAATCCTATAAAAGAAATAAGCTCGATTTTCAATTACATGATGATGATTTCTTTTAAAGAAATTCCATTTTGAAAAAACTACCTTCGTATTTACGTAATAAAGCATTATGTAATTGAGAAGGTCAATATCCTAGATAACTTTGTACTTACGTAAACTCGGTATTGGAGTTCGTTGATTTACAGAGCAATGGAATATCTGGAATTTAACCATATTTAAGCCCAACTTAAAAATATCATCGCAACTTTAATCACAATGCTTTTATTTTTCATATAATCCAAGCTCCACAAATATAAGAATATAAGTATAATCCATATAACTAGGATCTATGAGAGGATTGACAAAACATTTCAATCAATCACTTAACAAACTTATCACCAATATTCAAATCCCTTATCCTATAAAACTATCGTTAAATTTGCATAATGAGCAAGCTTAGTCGCATATAATATTTGCATAATCGATATACCAGGTTTACTAATCTTGAGGGTAAACACGAAACTCCAAGTGACACGAATTAGAAATATCATTTACAAAGGCAGGCAGATAAACACGGCGAATCTTAATTCTGCTAATAAATGCGCAACTCGGCTCGACCTTGTTACTGGTCCTTCACTCAACGTCATTCGCCAAGGATTCCCGTGGATCATTCTCAACAATTGAAGCGATTCCATTCCCAATGGTGCACTTGATCCTCGTCGCAAGTCCTTTCTTCGCCACATCCACGCACGCGCTCGCATTAATTAACTCTACGAGGCTTGCGCAACGTGAGAAATGAATCTGCGTGACTGGCATTAAAGAGAAAGAGAGAGAGAGAGAGAGAGAGAGAGAGAGAGACGAGCGACAATGGGCAATTGGATTTGACGCACTTAACATTGGCCGCGATGAATATGGACTGGTGTTGTTGTTCTCATCCATTGAACCACGAGAGCACATCTAACGATCGAGAGTTGAATCATTAATTCGTTCATTGGCTGCGCGCGGCTCGCTCGACACCTCTCATCTAATTGCGTACATTAAACGACGTCTGCGCTCCCTCTCTCTCTCTCTCTCTCTCTTTCTCTCTCGTTCTCTTGATTTGTTTTGTTCTCGGCTAATTGAAATTAACTTTTATTGGGCCGGAGATTACGCGCCAATGGAGCGATACCCGCCTCTTGGTCGCGCAACGTCGGCGCCGTCGCTGCCGAATCTCGGGTGTCACGATCGCGCTGACATATCCACGTACATTTACGCAACAATGGCTATGCGACTGAAATAAAAGTCGATCGATCGTTCCGAAATTTTCCATTATGTCGGACGAGGACGCGGACGTGCAGCGTACGCGCTTCCTTCGCCTCGTTGCTGACCATTGCGACTTTACGCTTTCATCGGCCGCTCTTACAGGATGCCACTTTTACCAAAGTACTTTCTTCATCCCGTAGACGCAAATGGTGACCTGTCTCTTTCCCAT